CCCGGAGCTCCGTAACTTTACCATTAAACAAGTATAACCTCAATCAGATCAGTTTTATTTTGGGATTTATTGCAGCAGAGAAGGTTGTAGATATTGTTCAGCAACTGAGTAAAGGGGGAAAACTTTTCCAGAATCAACCTGGAAACCGCAAGTTCGCAACTCTAGTGGAAGAAATCAGCACAGATGGGTTAATATTAGATCCGATGATTATCTTCAAAGCAAAGAATTTTTGTGAGGAATGATTTAAAGACCTACTAGATGTACCACACAATCTGCTCTTTAGTAAATCACCAACTGGGTGGACCAATGAAAAGATTAGTCTTCAATGGCTTCAATCAAACTTTGGCCATGAAAGCGAGAGTGCAAAGAAGGCTGCAATGAGGTATCGAATATTGCTGTTTGACAGACATAATTCACATGTTAACATCAGCTTCCTTGAATACTGTATCAATAACAAAGTTATAACGATTTGCTTACCACCGCATACAAGTTATCGCCTTCAACCTCTTGATGTTTCCATGTTCAGTTCCTATAAATATAGTTATCATAGGGAATTGGAGGATCGATTTGAGAGTCATAATCGAGGTGTTGGAAAACACAACTTCTATTAAATTATTAGTCAAGTTCGACCAATTGCCTTAATACCTGCAAATATTCGAAGTGGATTTTGGTATTCAAAAATGATACCTTCAGATGGCAGTATAGTGTTGAACCAACTCCAAGATAAGCAGAAAGCAAAACATGAAAGAAAATCACATGGCAATGCTACAATTTTACCAGCCCGCGAACTCTCAAGTCTCGAAATCGCAGAAGCTTTCAACATTTGAACATCACAAGAACCATATCAATTGACTAGTCAGGCAAACACTATCCTTAATGATATGCCACCCAATTCACCTTCTATGTGGTGTCGACATCATGTAACAAAAAATATCATCCATTGTGCCGAAGGAGTAATGGCCGACAATTCAATGAAGGTACAGAGAATTGAAAGTCTGGAACAGTAAGTCCACAATCTTGGCAATATGAAAAAGCAAAGCTGAAAAATGATTCTAGATCATCGTACCCATTTCTTGAATCAAGATAATATTATCTCATTTTTTGACCAGCGTGAGGTAGAGAAAACCCAAAAGTGTAAGAAGGATATTGTAGGATGGCAGAAGCGGCAAGATATTCTAACATCAAAAATTAATATCTTGCATAAGGGAAGGAAAGAAGTATTGGAATTAGAAGAGGGGAATCAATTACCAAAATGTTACAAAATGTCAACTCAACTGAGCATTGAACTCAACGAGCTTGAAGGCAAACTCACTGGGGTGTAGAAAAACTTGGAGGGGCTGACTATGCAAGGGCAGAAAGCTGTGAGGATAGTGGTGCTAATGATATAAAACCGGTAGTATTTTCTGATCTTGAGGAATTATTGGAGGACACAGTTTAAAGTCTATCTTTAGTAGAAGATGTTGTCCTACTTTTCAACTTTTTTTCTTGTGCTTTTTTCTTTGCTTTATCCTATGTTCTTGCTGGCATACTGGTATTCCTTTTTTTGTTTGCAATTTCTAAAATAGGTATTCACTTACTGTCTTATTTTAAACAAGAAAGATTATGCCAGGAATTGTTGCTGAAATGGAAGGACAATAATGCCAATGGGTTGTAAGGAAGATGACGACGAATAGTTGTATAAAAGAAAACTGTTTGTTCAAACAATTTAAATGTGTGCAATCACAGTACTAGGCTTGGCATTTGCTGACTAAAAAAATCTTGCAATGGGTGCAATCTCGGCAGGAGTGTAAGGGCTCTATCCTATGGACAGCTTTCAGTCAGATTGACGGTGTGAGCATATAGGGTATTACAGGAGCATCTCGACCCGGAAACTTTTACTAGGCTTACAGCAACTCTTCAGGCTGTAGCCAATGACACTGGGGACTTATACTGGGGCCGGAGGGTGATGTTAGCCACTAGACCTCCAAGTGACAGCTTGTTCATAGCTCAACTGGTTGCGCAGGAGTGATCCATACAACCTGAGATCCAAATACCCATCTGTAGTTTCGTGTGACAAACAATCTAGTAACATCCCCTGAAGTCGTGTGTAACAAGTTACTTTCAAGGTAGGGTAACTTGGCTCCATAGCAGGGTAACTTTGGTCCGAAGGTAAGGTAACTCTACCCAGACCTACCGTTAAGCAATTCAGGGTAACTCCCAAATTGACTACTTGGGTTACCCTACCCAGTAGGGTAACCACCGCTCCTTACTAGTACCTATGTACTTCTTAGTATGGCATAGCATGTCCAACTGAGATACCTAACCAACGGTACCTCCACTCCGTAGACTCTAGTCTACCACCATTCCTACCACGGTAGTCTCTTGACACCGGTATGGGTATAGGTTTGGCTAACTGTAATAGTACTCCGTGGAGTCTCGTTACAGTATTTTGGGCTTCTAGGTGCCCGTTATGCAATTTTTAGGGTGGAAACCTTCAAATAAAAATAAAAATCATAGTATGATATATATATACCTATCCCATAGTGTCATATACATGGGCTCCCACAGGCATTCACAGTCAACCGCTCGTCGCCAGTCCCCACTTATAAGCACAAGCATATATATGACAAAGCAGTCAGAACAGAGCATCCCGCAATCAACCCAATCCAACCCAGCCCATCTCATTCCGTCCCATATTCACCCTCCTCCTATAATTACAATCCCCTCAATAGAACCGGTTTCTCTCCCCCACCCCCTCCTCGATGTGCTGAAATTGGGTGTCAGGATCCTTAAACGGCCACCGCTTCCACGCCATCGCGAGATTCACCAATTCGATCGTCCCCAGACACCTCACCCTCTTGCTTGGCGGAATTCTCTCGTCGGCGGGCAGGTGCTCCAGTATGTTCTCCGCGCCCGGGGCGAGACTACGAAGCGCGTTGAGGATGCTACTGGCGCGGAGGACGAAGAGGTGGCGTAAGAGCCATACAAAAATTAGCCAGTTATTTTCGCGCTCGTGCGCGTTGGGCACAGAGAAGAAGGGGTGGGGTTTTTTAGGGGTTATCTCTAGGAGGCTCATCGGGATCTGGACAGGGGTTAGCTGGTGTAATGGGGTAGACGGAGGGGGCGGGGAACAGTACGTCGGGGAAAAAATCTTCCGCGGGTTTGATGGGTAAAGGTTCATATTCCCGATTGTGGATATTCAAGAGTCTGTTGCGAACGGCATAGATTTCGTCGTCTCGGCTTTGTGCTCGGGCTTTAACTTCGTGTCTGCGGGCCCACCGCTCTGCGTATTCCTCCCATACCTCGGCCGTGTCTTTGTCTCCCTTCCCGCCCATGCTATCGGTCTTGCCGGGCTGCTGTGAGGACCAATTTGTCTCGCTGGCGGAGGTGGCGCTTGGTTCTTGGACAGCAGCGTCCCCGTTGGGTGGGCTGCCGCCCGCTCCCATAGCGGTTTCGTAAACATCCTCTGGCTGAAGCACTTGTTTCGGATCAACACCGAGGGCAGGGTGAAGCGTAGCCATCTCGAGGGCAAGTTTTCGAATTTCCGCCTTATCATTCTTGTAGTACCAGGGCGGGTGTTCCATGCCTTGGATCCAGAGTCCTTGATAATTCATTATCTTGTCCTCGATCGCTTCTATCTGTGCTATCGATGGGGGTTCGCCTTGTTTGGGGAGCTTTCGTGGGCGGCCAGGGGCCCTCGGCACTCTTAACTTCCATTTCCGCTTGTTTTCCTTCTCCGGAATTTTCTCAGCTTCTTCCTCTGCTCCCTTTTTATGTTCGAACCTTCTCCGGATCTCGTCGCATCTGTTGAGCACTGTCACGCGTTCCTTGCATGGGATACTCGCTGGCAGTATTGGCTCCTCATTGCGGATTGCTTCAACGAGCTCGCGGACCCTGGCTCTTGTCTCCTCCAGTTTTTTCTGCTCCTTGCTTGGCAGTTTCTTTGGGCGGCCGCGGGTCGTTGGGGTCAATCCTGGGCATAGCTCAGCCACTAATTTTTTGATTTCATCCTCCACCATTTTCTGCCTAATCACCAACTTCTTCTTAATCTTTACCTTTCTTTCCTGTGGTTTGATTGATGTGAGCCTCTTTTCCTCCACTTCAACATTATCCGGGTTTATCTCCGGAAGTTTTTGGAAACCCCTTCCTGTGCGGATCACATTTGATGATGCGACCTCGGTGATGTCAACTACTGCCTCCGCCGATGCAGCGGGCCTTGCTCTCGAAGCGATACTCCGAGGTAGGTATCTATCCTTTATTGAGTCTGGCACCCATAATAAAAAGCGTACACGTCCATACTGTTGAATCCAAGTTCCCAAGGCACAACAATTGATGAATTGAGCTATTAATCTCTCGCTCTTCTCCGATTTACCCATATGTCCGACGAACAGTAAATCACTATTGACGTCGTCAGGAGAAGTCGTGGCTTGGATCCTTGGTTTGGGGAAATTGTCCGGCCACGGAGGTGGCGGTGGGTTGTCGGAGAATAATTGGTTGTAGGTGTTCCAGTCATAGCCGTCTAACGGAATATACCAGGAGTTTTTGTACGTTTTTTGAAATTCCCTCATCCGATCTCCATAAAATTCCTCAGGCTCTAGCAATATGTGCTGCTTCGGTTGTAAGCGTTCATGCAGCGCTGCTGAGAAGACTCCCAGATTTGGATTCATGTCTATTATCGTGGTTTTTTTGTAGGCCAGTAGGTTTAATTTGTCCATTATTGGGTCTATATTTTTGTGTAATGGAATATCAGCTCACACTTGCTTGGTTAAGTTCCTCGGCAGATAGATGGAACGATGAAGTAGAGGCCACCCACCACAAATTTGCCAGTTGACCAGCGACGGAGGAAGCTTTGACCGGCGAGACAAAGCGTATGGAGATATCAATGAGCGAAGGTGAGCGATGGACTCATCAGCGCTCCTGCGAAATATACTTGCGGCTGTCATGGTTTCGCGGGTCGTATTGATGGGGGTTGCCGGTTATGAGAGAGAAGGAATTGAGTTGAGGTTCCCCCGAAGAAAATAAGATTTTGATATAGATCACGTGTGAAGCTGAATGTGGAGTGGATGCCAAGACCCGCCAACATGGGTTGCAGATTGCTCACCCCTAGCTAAGCCAGCAAAACCGGTAGTCTACAGAAGTTTGGCGCTTGCTGAGGTTCAGGATTCAGGTCCTCTTGGCCCCACCCAATGCAAAAAGGCGACTGTCACGCTGTTGGCTCGCATAGGAGGGATGGGATGAGTTCTTGTTGGAATCATGTGTGTCTGTGGGAAGGTAAGTTACGACACTTTATCAGCGCAGGCAGTCGAATATTAGTACGGCTGTGGTGCCCGTGTGATAATAATATTATTATAATGATATATCTTAAGGGGACCATGGGACCATGGGAGAGAGGGACAAAACTTACCCTACTCGTACTCGTGGACAACCCCACAGGACAAACACTTACCGTACCATATAGTACTATAGCTCTTGAAATTCTCTGGCACTCGAATTGTGTAACAACCTGGTCCGCCGGCAATGCGCCGTACATACCGGTACCATACTCGTACATACGAGCCCTCACAACATCGCACAAAACCATTCTACTGGTATACAGTCGACGAGCTGGAGAAAAATATTGAAATAAATAGAATAACGCCCTCATTCATATCGCACCCCGCATTTTAAAGCCCCCCCCGATAAGCTGCTAACTATCCTACATAGCGGTGGCTGGGACCCTTCTGTCTCGCACCCCTTTTGTCCTAAACTTTTCTATTAGGTTCCCGCTGCCAACTTGCAGCAACCGCCCAACTGGCGTCCATCGTATACCTTCAACGGGCGGCCCCTCCTCGCCATCTCATCCCTACCCCGCCATACACATATCGACATCACCGAGAGAGCTATTCCAGTCGTTTTACATCCCAAGTCACCGTCGAGGAAGACGGCTATTGCGTGCATTACGAGATGGCTTACGAGAACGATGGGACCGTGGGGCCTTACCGTGCTCCCCCTATGAGTATCAAGGAGATTGCCGACAAGGCAGTTGACTTTGATTATAATCCACTTATACCCCTCAGGTACTGGTTACGAACTGCGGATACGCTTTTGAAGGAGGTATGTTTCCTCAATTTGCTATTTTTTTTTTCTTTGTACAGACGAATGCTCAATGACCGTGTTATCACAGGCTACTATCTATCAAGCTGAAGGAAATGAGCAACAGGCTTACTTGTTACTTGTTCGGCAGGCAGAGTGCGCCCCTCTAGCATTCTATTTGCGAGTTTGTGCTAACGAGGATAGGCTTGTGTTTCGCCATTTGGAAGATCACCCGGAGGCCAAGAAACAGGAAAATCTACGGAATCTACGTACGGTTCGTACGAGATCTACTGAGGCTCTGAAGAGGTTGGAATACATGAAGCCGCGTATCACCGCCCGCTATGAGAATTACAAGCTTGCGACCCAAAGGGCTTGTGATGACAACCACCGAGAGCACCGCACCTCTACTTCTGTCCTCCCCACTGGCCGCAGCTCTCGTTCTTCGTCTTCTATACCATACGCTGGCGCTGCGGCTCTTTCATTTTCACAAAAGCAAGCACTCAAAGCATCTATTCCCAAACCCTTAGATTTATCCCGCGGTGGTCGTCGTGGAAGTACATCTAGTGTTACCGGTCCCTTTTCGCCACCCTTAGAGAAATTACTGAGCTCTGGTGGGCTAGCGCCAACTATGGCTGATAGTGCACAACTAGCCATGGAGATTGCAAAACAGGAGTTTGAAAAACGAGAACGTGAAAAGCGAGCTAGAAGACGGCAGTTGGCAATCGAACAGGGTAGAGGCAATGTGATTGTGGACTCTAGAGGTCAGGAAATAAAGCGGATATCGACACCGGCCTCCGCTGCTGTAGAGCAGAGTTATAGGAATTTACTCTCGCAATATCAACCAGAAGGTCAAGGCCGCGATAGCGGGTATGGGTTCGCAAGTGAGCACCCAGGGTATACTGGGTATTACCAAGAGACACCCCAGGAGAGTGAAAGGCGGTTATACCAGCAGGCGCATGATGAGGAAGAACGCAGGAGAAGAGTGGTGGAGCAACAAGAGGAGGAGTGGGATTTAGCAAGAAGCATAGAGGCGTTGCATATGAAGGCCGATCTCACCGAACGTCAAATGCAGCCGCCTTCTGCAGGAAACAGTTACCGGTTCTCTACTAGTAGCACGCTTTCTGGATGGGAGGAACCGGCTCAGGAGAGGGAGAGGGAAAATTATGTTGGGAGGTGGCAGGGAAATTACCCTACAGTACCAAAAAGAAGCTCTCTGACAAAAATGGAACCGCCTCCAATTCCCGGCCCGGCCGCAGATTTCGTTGAAATCCGAAGTGTCACGCCTACTCCACCTCCGAAGGCACCTTTATACGGCTACGATGGCTCGTCAAATTCCACTGCCCCTGCTGTTCCATACAAGAAACCACTTCCCTACGCCCATAGTCATGCTCCTTCGCCACCACCACCATTACCAAAATTCCCGTCCTCATCCACCTCCACAACACCGACTGCTACAAAGCATGTTCCCGCTACTCCTGAGGGCTTTCAATTCAGCACACCAGCAACTCTTGAGAATGGCACTCCCCTCCGCACCATTTTCCTTCCCGCTACCCTCCGTCAACAATTCCTCCTAATGGCTGAGCCGAACACAAATCGCAACTTGGAAACCTGTGGCATCCTTTGTGGAACCTTAGTGCGAAACGCACTCTTCGTCTCCCGCTTGGTCATACCTGAGCAGGAAGCCACAAGCGATACCTGCTCGACAAAAGACGAAGAAGGCCTGTTTGAGTACGTCGATAGAGAGGAGCTAATGGTCCTTGGTTGGATTCATACCCATCCTACACAGACTTGCTTCATGAGCAGCGTGGACCTGCACACCCATTGCTCGTATCAACTGATGTTGACTGAGAGTATCGCGATTGTGTGTGCGCCGAGACACCAGCCTTCGTAAGTTCCCCCCACTTCCTTCCTTCACCCACTTATTATTTGCTCACGAGGTATCTAGTTGGGGCGTCTTCCGCCTCACCAACCCACCAGGCGTTGAAACAATCAGGGCCTGCCGCCAAGACAGCTTGTTTCACCCACACGGCGAGTCGAACGTTTACACTGACGCTATGCGGCCAGGACATGTATGCGAAGTCAGAGAGATGGGATTCGACTTGGTGGATTTGAGAAAGGGTGGAGATTAGATGTGTGGTCGACACTGTTTATGGTGATTTGCCTGAAGAGCTTCTGACGCTTCTGTATTTCCTATTTTATTTTTTTCTCTCAAACTTTCCTGACCATACTCCTTCACTCGAGTTGCTCAATTACCTTGTCTCGCCCACTTACCCTGTGCTCCATTTTTGCGTTTCTGACAGGTAGAGGTATATGTTATCTAGTTTGCTGTAGAGGGTGCTTTTGCTTCTGTTCTTTCTCTCTTTCGATAGAGGCTTGGGAAGGATGCGGATAGGGGGCTTGACGGACTGGGCTGGTTTGGTCTGGCGGGTGTGTGGTGGCCTGGCCGGTTGGGTGACTGGGTTGATGGTTGGTTGGCTAATTGGGAGTGCACGGGAATCCCGGATGGCATGGCGTTGGGGGGGAATGTAATAAACTTGATGGTTTTTTGTTTTGTTTGTCTGGGGAACGTTGTGAATGGGAGATCACATCGGAAGTGTGCAGTAGGGGCGCAAGCGGCAACCCAGGCGTGAAGAAGCGATCCTCTTGAGCTTCTAAGTTATGGATAAGCGGCTCCCTTTGAAACATGGAACCTCTGTGATTCACAAGGTGTGATCTCGTGCTCCCCCCCCCTGGAGATTCGGCATCCCTACTCGCCACAGGAGGTAAAGTACGGTATGATACTTGTACAGGCCTCTTGACTGGTGCTGTGGAGAACCGCGAGTTCGAAAAGGGTTTTTTGCTGGATTTTACTCCTCCAGCTTTCAGCCTCCAACCTTTGCCATAGACTAGAGGACATGTTCCATTAAAGCACCCCAAAAGCACTTCAAGTTATCATAGAAATGCATTCTAGGTCATGGATGCCTCCGCTGCAAAAGTTTTGAACTGGCGGTACCTTACTTCCTACGATAACTTGAGATGCCAAATCTTGGTAGAGAAGCACGAGTAGGAATCCGTTTGATATGACTAGTGGTGGGTAGGTAGGTATGTGATAGATTGGATAACAGTGGACGGAAGGGTGGTCGTGCGTGAGATTCTGTGATGGGATTAGTAAAGTATGATAGATGGTGCCTCACTCCCTGTTGGAATGTTCGGATTGGGAGGCTGAAGTGCTTCAGAAGCTGTGCTGTTTTGTGAGCGACTTGTTTCGACAACAATATTAAGTTATTATTTTATTATGATAATATGATATCTACTTTCGCTTCTCCTGTACCGTTATTGTATTAGGGTAATCTGGTGGGCTGCGACTTTGTTCCTTCACCCCCCCCCCACTTTCCTCCCTGCCTAGAGTCCATTCGCTGGCCAACAACACCCAGCACCGTTTGTTGTGAAAGACACAAATGAGTTTCCGAGACTATGTATTCGTTGGAGTTTTTAGGCTCCCAACCAAGTTAAAAACAAAACAAAAAAAAAAAAAAAAAAAGTGCGGACGTGGCGATGGTCGCGAAGCCATTTGGATGAGCATCATATTATCATATCGTACCATACCATATCCGGCTACAACTGATCCACTGGGACCCCATGAAACGGATTTCTGTGGCTAAATCATTGCGGAAACCTAACCTACTGGAGCGGAAGACACGGTAATAGGGCGTATTCAGTTCTACCAGGCCTAATTACGGGGAATAGTTCTAGAGCTTGGTCTGGACAACACATTAGCCTGGGGGCAAGTTTCTGTCTGTGACTTATCACAGCCAAAAAAAAAAACCGTCGGGTTGACTGACATGTGTACATTTTGCAGGGATTCGATATGTCTGCGCTTTGTACGGTAAAGGTAAGGTACATGCGGCAGAGGGTTGGGGATTGTTGAAAAAGGGTAAAAACTGGTCGTCGGAGAGGATTTATTGACTCGATTAGACTATATTTCCTGACACTGTATAGTTAGTCTCTGTCTGCTGCGCTCGAGTATAGTATGATAACTGTTCCTTGGGATGGGATGGATTGGCGGAGACTTCACGGCCTATCACTCATGGTCAAAGTCCAACTCCCGGCAGTTTACAGGTGGGGGGTTCGGACGGCAAAGGTGGGGTAAGTTAATGTGCACCATAACATACCCGAGTATGCTTACGTAAGGAAATTAACCAGTGAGAGCATCCCATCCCAATCGATCTTATAAGCCATTCTAAAGTACTTGTACTCCTATTGTTCTGAAAGCCAAACTACGCTGCGCTGAATAGCCCCCCAAGTTAAACTTGGATGGGAAAGCTTCCTCGCGATGATGTTTAAGTTACTTGTTAGGTCCGCAATTGGGAGTCCCGACAGACAGAAACCACTTGTTCAAACCACGATCGGCTTGACGGGGTGAGTTAACAAAATAACGAATACAAGTTAATGAGGTCGAGCCTCCTCTAGCTATACTCCGTCTCGATAACACCATCCCTTCATGCCAGTAGGGCGCTTTGTCTTCTAATCGTGGGATTGGGGCCTGACATGAGATTGTGGATTTAACGCTGTGCTGGTAACTCGAGTAGAGACACCGATGGGCTATTTCCTCGTGGAAACTCAACAAATTAGCTTGTACCCAATTGGGGGGGGGGTTCCGAGCATGATGCCGTAGTAGCTTTATCTATAGGATGGGAAACAGGATTGCCTGGCATCAAAATTTATGTTTTAATCTTCCCAGCGCAATTTACAGCGCATTGTATCAATCATGTAAGGTACTGTACGGTAACCTAACTTGTGATTCCAACAATAACAATGTCATTATGTCTAGGACTAGATGGGAAACGGGGTCAACGAATGGCTACCAGAACACCACCCACGTCATATTGTACCAATCATACAGCAACCAGTGTCATGCAGATCGAAACGATCCGGACCGCTGTTGGAGGGGACCCCCCCGCGAAGAACTCCCCGGACTACTACGGTGGATCTCGGATTTATATACCTCCATATTTCCCGTACTCCGCCTCCCCCCCCCCCCGGAAATATATAATATTATATATATATAAAAGTAATGAAAAAAATGTCAACACTCCTCACACTCCCTCCCGAGCTCATCCTCCACATCGCGGGCTACCAATCCCCACCGACGGTCTTCTCCCTCCTGCGAACAAACCGCACACTCCATTGCCTCCTCACGGACGCACTAACGGACAGCGTATTCAACGACCTAACCTACGCCTCAAAAGCCATATACCACGCCGCGGAGCGGGGCAACAAGCGCATGATCCGGCGCCTGGTGAACTCGGGCATCCTGAAGGACATAGACTTCAGCCTGAACGCAGCGGTGTCGTACGAGAGCCCCGAGGTGATCAAGACGCTGCTGGACTGCGGGGTACCGGCCAACACGCGGGACGATTGGGGCGAGACCCCGCTGATCGTCGCGGCGATATCCTGCCGTGTGGAGATCGTGAGACTGCTGGCGCAGAGGGCGGATGTGGACGTCAATTCCACCGACTGGCGGCATACCACCGCGCTCGCGTACGCCGTGCGGGATAAATTCGGTGGCGGCGTGGAGGTCGTTCGCGCGCTGCTCGAGCGGCCGGATACGGACGTGAACGTGCGCGACATCGACGGTCGCTCGGCGCTGCACCACGCCGCGGAATTCGGTGGGCGGGAGAATGTGGCGAGCTTGCTGGCGCGGCCGGAGGTGAATGTGAATTTCGTGGATCACTTTGCGCACGGTATGACGGCATTGCATATGGCTGTGTTCGTCAGTGATCAGAGCGTTGTCAGCCTGCTCCTTGATGATCCCCGCGTCGATGTGAACCGGGGGGACAGGATACAGCATACACCCATGCACCTTGCTGTGGAGCGCGGATGCGAGCCTGTGCTAAGGATGTTGCTGGGATGTCTGAAAGTCGACGTCAACGCCTTCAACGCTGTCGGCCGCACACCATTGGGATTCGCGGTGAACGGGTCCACAAAGGGGATTATCCGCATGTTAACCTCGGACCCCCGCGTGAACATCAACCTCGCAGACCCCTTTTCGCAGACCCCGCTTTGCGTCGCCGCGAGCAAGGCAAGGCTTAGTGCGGTACAACTACTCTTGCAGCGCAAAGACATAGACGTCAACCTCCGCTGTCAGAATGGAATGAGCCCGCTCTCCCACGCGGCGGAAGAGCCCTTCAAGGAGCACAACACGCTAGAGCACTACGAGAAGATCATCAACCTTCTGGGCACCGACCCGAGGGTGGACGTCAACCTCGCGGACTACCGCTTGGAAACGCCCCTACATAAAGCTACCCGCGCACGAGGGCCCAACCTTGTGGAGGAGTTGCTCAGACACCCCGACATCGCCGTCAACGCCCGGGACCAGGATGGATCCACGCCGCTGCTCTTGGCCGTTTGTATGACAGGGCGGGGGGGGCTGGATGGAGTTGTCCGCATCGTGCGGGCACTACTGGCCGACCAGCGCGTCGATGTTAATGCGCAAGATAATGCGGGACATACGCCGCTGCACGTTGCCGTGATTCGCCAGCAAGTGGAGCTTGCCAGATTGTTATTGGCTCATGAGAAGATTGATAAGCATTTGGTGGATGAAAAGGGGCTGAAGCCTGAGGATCATACATTCGGTGCTAGCGATCTGTTTGCAGACGTTTTCAGGACGAGGAGGAGCTTTAGCAATGGGATGGAGGAGAAGGTTCGTACCCTTGGGGTAGAGGAGATGGGGAGGAAAAGGGCGGAGGTGATGAAGAAGGAGAAGGAGAAGAAGAAGAAGAAGAGGAAAAATGTTTTGTATTGGGTGAGGTTTCTCTTGTGTCGGCTGGGGAGGGAATAGACGGTGCGTTCACAAAGTATATAGTGCTCTACTCATCTCTTATGTAATACGATACTGATTAGATGGCGTTTGGGTCTGGGTCTGGGTCTAAGTCTGGGTGGCCGGGAGACGAACGAGCGGATATATCAATCAAGGCTGTTTTACCGGACATGCCGGGTTTTCTGTAGCTATTATCATATATCAAATCTCCCGTCCTACTGTACTATCTATATATATATATATGATATAAAATGACATTCTCAATACCTCACTCCAACCCTCTTCCCCTCTAATTTCCGCATATCCGAAAATGGCAGTCTTTCGGACACCACAAAAGCACACTTATGAAGCTGACAATCTCGCCGACTCAGGGTTAGCTAGACTATAACCATCCTTTTTACAAGGCCTTGCCAAGAAGATTCATGGTCTCAAGATCACAGTGCACGCCCAACCCAGTCCGACATCGATTCAGAAGGCCGCGGTTATCCACTCCCGCCCCAAGAAAATGTTCAAGCAGCAAGCTAAATTTACAGTACCCGCCTGAACGGGAGAGAACGAATGGAAACTGGGCGTGAATGCTTAGTTGGAAAAGAGAGTTGTTCGCAGGGTATAGTATATAGTACTTGCACTCAATCAGACATCCGGGTTTAGAGTTTCCTATGTTTTTTTTTTTTTGGGGGGGGGGTCTTTAAGCTATGATATACCAAGCTACCTGCCATGGGTTTAAATATATATTTTTTACGATACGAACTTGACAGGGGGAACTCGATATCTACCTCTCTCTTGTGAACCGGATCAGGTCGGGTATGGTAATTGCTTGTAACTGTTTTTATCGCTGCCAGAACTATGATATCTACAAAAAATTTGCTGCGATATTACTAATAATAATATATTGCTGGGAAGAAGATAATAGGAAGGATGTGTAACCGACTTAATAAAATTACCAAAACCGGTATGTATATTAGCGCTCCCGAATACGGCAGGAGCCTGCGCTTTATCTACCGGTACTGTACTTGGGTGAAACGGGTAATCTATGGTAGGGACTGGATGATTCGTGCCACTCCTGGTAAGTAAATTGTGAATGGTTTCTTGTTGCGTAGATCGGGTATCATACTACTGATATATTTTTCGTGAACATGTCAGCACCCGCGAGCTACCCAATTTCTAGTGAAAGCTGCTGTGGCGAGGGGAGCGGGGAGGGGTTACTCCACCCGCCGGCCGAAGCTATGATAATATTATTATGGCATTTGGCGCTATAGTTATCTACAGTCGAGGGAATGTAAAGTATGTTTTCACGCATTATCACTCCTACTTAATCGTAGATTATCGGGTAAGGAATAATACCTACCACGCTCACCATGCAGTGCTGTGCGAGGCTGGTGCTGGCCGGACCCCGACCCAATTTTTTCCCCCTACCCTCGCTGCGTGCAAGTCTCTCTATCATGCCTAAGACAAAAAATACCGAGCAAGTCTACACTCCCACGCCCCCCATTTTTCATTTCTCTACCGCCCAAGCTGCCCCTTCCTCATCAAATTCCTCCTAACCCTCCAAGCACTACTACCTTTCCCATCGCCAGTGCGCCCCCCACCAAAACTAACCCACGGCACCCCCGGTCTGGTGTAATCCTCCCCGACCCCCGCTACCATTTCTGCGGCGCACAACTCCAACCTCCCACGCACAAGCACAGTTCTCTTCCCCCGCAGCCTCTCGGCATCGTCAGAACTAAGCGTAGCAACAACCCATACCTCTCTTTTCTCCACATCAACGCCCTTAATTAGCGCCATCCCTACAGCACGGGAACGTTCCGGCGCGGGCGGGGTGGGTAGGTACGGGAGTTCCTCTGGCGTTAGAACGATTTTTGCAGTCTCGGTTATGCTTTCTTCGTCTTCGTCGACTTCCACTACAGCAACTAGCGTGCCCTCAATGGCGGTGAGGAGTTCCGTGGGGGGGAGGTCTTCTTCGTGAAGGATGGATACCCCATCGATTGCTGGGTGCGTGCCGGCGTATGGGAGGCGCCAGGGCTGGATTTCAGCGAGGGGCTTGACGACCCAGCGCAGGGTGTCTGGGCAGTAATGTATGAAAGAGGAGGTTTGTAGTGTGCGTAGGTCCGCTGCTGTGAATCTTGCGTTCTCGCTGGTAGCGCTGGATATGAGCACGTGCATTCTCGGGGGGTTTGTTGGGGGGAGGACGTCCATGATTGGGATTAAGTGGTCTAGCGTCGATGTTATGTAGACGATGTCGGTGGTGCACGAGGCCTGGATAATTTCTCGGAGGAGCTCTAGGCCTAGAGACTTTATCCACCCGGCCGAGTTGATGAGGAGTGGGCCCGGATCGGTGGGCGCCGCGGAACGGTAATCCGATAGGAGGGCGAGGATAGCGCGGATGTATGCCGATGGATCTTCGCGTGGCGAGGTGTAGCCAATGTGGTGGGCGGTTATGAGGGTTTTTGGTAGAAGCGGGCTAGTGAAGGGGGGTCCGAGGATGGGTCGCTCAAGCAAGTGGAGGGAGAGGAAGCCCGGGGGCGTGAAGGAGGGTTGACCCGGGTCGACGTCTAAGTAGTAGACTCTCGGGTAGGTTTCTGCGGTGAGGAGCCGGTTCGTGAAGATCCGAGAGAGTGTGGACTTTCCAACCGACTTTCCCCCAGAAAGGAGAATGACCGGGGGTGCGGTATTTCCGGGATTAGCGACCTTCTCAATTCCCCCGAGCGTCTCCTCCCACTGCTTCGGAATAGTGAGAACCGGTAAGGGTGCGCTCGTGGTAAACAACTTCTCGACATCAGCCATGATCCCCAATGTACCAATCTGAACAAGCACTCATACTGGATGGAAAGACCTCCCGCCATCCCCCCCAACTGGCACCCAAATCCCATTAGCAACCGGACATGTCCTCCCCAAATTCCGTATCCCAGACTCCGCCTGCGTGAATAAAACCTCCGCATCAGAATCCTCTCCTTTCCTCTTAACCTTCACGCAGGCGATCTCTGGTAAGGCATGCGTGCTCGGTGCAAACACCTGACAACACCCGGACTGGCGAGTTAATTTTGCGCCGGAGATAGTGATGGCCCCTTTTCTCACGCGGAGTTCGTATTCCCCAAGGATCACAAGAGTCTAGCCGTGGTTAGCCCGACCGATACACTGACTGAGGGATACCATAGGGGATAGGAACCTCCCCGGGTGCCATCCGGACAACGCAACTCCCATCTTGAGCGGGAATGTAGTTTTCAGAAGTGAGTGTGAAATTCGACATCCGGACCTCTTTATCAACCTTCGTGTCCGTCTCCGTTTCGACACCGCCCTGACCTCCCGGCGCCGCTGCCATCGCCTCGGCCGAATATGTAGGCACCGCTTCACCACCCCCAGACGAAATCTGCACATGACTGATAACAACCCTCTTCCCACCACCACTGCCACCACCCTTCTTCAGCTCCATTTCAACCTCCCTAAGCCTGTGTGTCTCCTCATTCGATAATTCCAGCGCCTTCCCTTCTTCCTTCTCCTTCCCTACCCTCTCAACCTCTTTCGACTCAGGGTGCTGTGCACCAGCAGTAAGCCAACGGAGTCTGCGTGCTGCGAGAGCGCTCAGAGGCGCCTCTACCAAATTTCATCAGCACTACGAAAACTGCAAGGGATAGGGGAGAGGGAGTACGTTTGGGCTCATCTTCTCTTTGCCTTTTCGGCATCGTCTTGTTTGCCGTGGCGACAGTGATTTAGTTGGCTGTGCTCGCGTTTGGCGGCTCTTTGGGAGTTGAAGGAGGGTGCGTGCGGTGGTGTGTTGTAGTGGGTGCGTGGCACGTGCTGGGTAACTTAACCCTAACCTTGGAATGCTCCCCGGTAACTAGAGCAGAATACTCCAGTAGAGAATACTAGAGATGGTGCTTCTGCACTCCTGGTTCACGATTTTATTAGTTTTCGAGTGGCTAACCCTTATCGTACTTATATCCGGGTAAGAGTCTAGCTAGGTGGGATCGTAAATGCCTCAAAAACGGCCTTGGGAAACACTGAAAGAGCTATCCCATCCGCTTCATTCTATGCCCATTGGAACATTCGCATAAAATAAATACCCCACTCATCACTTCTGCAATTCAAGTAAAAGATCATAGACCCATCAAGCCAATTCCATGCCCCCCCAAGGCACAACCATCCCAACCACCCCCCCCCCCAACAAACCACCAAACTTCCATTCAAAGTGAAGAAAAGGGGAAATTTTTTGCAAAAAACCCATGCGATGAAGCCCGATATATAAGCTATACACGACGACGAGACGAGACAAGGCCATCCGACAAGACCAAGAAGAAAAAGATCCGCAAAAACTGGAAACGAAAATCTCCTGCGGCTACCGGTTGTAATTCTCTGATTCTCTAACTTAAGCTTCGCTTCCGAACTCCGCTGTCCAATCATCGCTCTTCTTGATGTCCTCCTTGCTGACGGTGGGTCGGCTCATTCTCACGGCTTTTACAAAGTCCTTCAGCTCTAGGGGCGGCTCCATGAGCTTGTCGGGGTCTACGTCTACCCATGTCATCTCCATTGCGCCGGGGGCGCCGGGGGAACATGGTGTTAGCTTTTCCTCGTGCTCTGGTGTTATGACCTGCAGGCAGAGTGTTAGTCGGGGCGGAAGCTAGGGGAATAAGAGGAAGCACCTTTCTGTAGTGGGTCGCCGTTTGGATTTTCCGGACTGGTTGCATGAGGGCGTCTTGAACGGCGATGTTGATATCACTGCCGGTGTAGCCTTCTGACATCTGGCCGAGGCTTTTGTAGTCCTGAGGGGTGAGAGTGCAAGGCGTTGAGCCTACCGAAAGTTCGAACATCTTGACTCGGCCGGGAAGGTCAGGAACAGCGATGTGTATTCTTCGCTGGAATCTGTTCCGGAGTTAGCAACATCAATCTGGATCCCCCCAGGGGAGTCGGGAGAGTAATATACCGTCGTCGGATAGCAGAATCCAATTGCCATGGGATATTCGTTGCTCCGAGTACCAACACACCTGATGTATCATGACCTACTCCGTCCATCTGAACCAACATCTCGGTTTTTATCCTTCGACTAGCTTCACTCTCGCCCTCTCCTCTAGTTCCGCAAAGGGCATCGACCTCGTCAATGAAGATAATCGAAGGTTTGTTTTCTCTCGCCATCGCAAACAGTTGCTTCACAAGCCTGTGCGAACCACATCAATACACCCTCTTCCAGCGATGGCATCTCCGGGGTCGAAAGAATACGAACCTCTCACTCTCACCCATCCACTTAGAAACCAAGTCCGAACTGCTAACCGAGAAGAAAGTGCTATTCGCTTCCGTCGCCACAGCCTTTGCAAGGTAACTCTTACCGGTACCGGGGGGTCCGTAAAGCAGAATGCCCCTCCAAGGCTTCCTCTTCCCAGTAAACAGATGGGGGAACTTTATGGGTAAGATAACCGCTTCCTTCAGCGCTTCTTTAGCACCTTCCAGACCAGCGACGTCCTCCCAACGGATGTTCGGTTTCTCCGTAAGAATAGCTCCAGCAAGTGCTCCTCTCAGCTTTTTGTTCTCTGGGTCAATGGCGTCCTCCTCATCGCTGCAATTCCCGTTAGCCACCCTCTCTCATAGCTTCCCAAAAATCGAAAGCAGCGAAAGGGAGAAGAAGTACATGCCTCCCTTTCTGTCCTCCTCCATTCTCCTTCCCGTTCACACCAACTTTACTGGGCTTCTTCTTCCCTTTAGACTCTTCAAGGTGCGTCTTGAGCTTCTCAGCTCGCTCCATGTACTCGGCAGCTTTAGCACGGATGCTCTCCTTCATCTTTGGATTCTTCTCCCATTTCAAAGCTAGCATGAAACATTCCAGGGCGGAGTAATACTGAGTGTACGCGGCCTCATAATTCCCGGCCGTGTCCTCCTCGATCGCCCTCTTGACGATGGTTATCGCTTTCTGATTAAAGCGTTATCCTTCTATTAGCTCAACCCGTAAATCCTTATCGCGGGGAGGAGTGGGGGGGAGTGGAAAGAGAGAAACATACCCCGACGAAATCGGTATTAGACATGGCGATGACGAGTGCTCAAAAAGCGAGTTCTAACTCAACTTCAAATGCGGGGAGTGCAAGCGAAGGAAAACAATGCTAGTCTCGAGGAATGATCTCCAGCAAAACAATTAATTATGGAGTCAGTTGCGGAGCCCAAGTGGAGATGGGGAACTTGTGGTGGAGCAAGGGAACTCACAAGGAGAAGAAGAAAAATAGGGAGAAAATGTGTACTCGTATTTCATGCAAAGCAAGAAAATAAGGTAGAGGCTTTAATTGTAGGTCAGTCGTGACACCTAGTATCACAGAAGTCTTGGCGATGCCATCCCCCACCACTAAAGCAACCAAACGGTTGCCATGACATTGCCCTCTAGCATAACAGAAAGGGTGAGAGAGTGTGAGCGAGAGGGGAAAACGTTCGTCTTCCGACCACTACACCATGGCAGGAAAAATGTTGCAAGATCTTACGGATCAGTTTCAGGCTCTGTCCAAAGGTGTTTGTTCCACACTGTGTTTTCTGATGGGGGGTTATGCTAATTGGAATAGACATGAGCTCTATCGTCGAGGCGCGACAAAAATTAGATTCGCAGCTTCAGGAGAATAGGTCTGTACAAAAGGTATTATCCATCCCCACGAGGTATTATGGTGATGGGAATAACCCACTGATTTGAGGAGTAGGAATTTGCGAACCTGGCCGATGATGCAAAGATCTACAAGCTCGTTGGGCCCGTGCTCGTTAAGCAGGACAAGTCGGAGGCGGTAATGAATGTGGATAAAAGATTGGAATTTATCAACTCAGAAATGTATGTCCTTCCGCTATGTTCGCTTTTTTGGGCCTGAAACTGACTAGCTCATGTTCTAGCGCGCGCATCGAAAAGCAGATCACCGACATTCAAGAGAAGCAGGAACGGAAAAAGATGGAAATCATTCAGGTTCAATCTCAACTACAACAAGATGCCCAAGCGCAAGTAGGAGCATAGTCTAAATTCTAAGAAGGAAAAAGAAACCATTCAAAAACCACCCTTTCCCAAATCATACTGCATAAAATAAATCGCAAAAACTTTTGAATACCGCCTAAAGCAATCTGATATGATACAATATATACTGTCACCAACTCAGTCCACCACCCGTATCGTGTGGAACAGAATGAAAAAGGGAAAAGAAAACTAAGCTCAAGAAAGGGTCTCCTTTCTATTCTTCTTATGTTTTTTCACCCTATGTTCCCCCTTTTCACCCTTCACCCTAATAAGTCCTCCTTCCTCCCCACTCTCCCTCCGCTTCTTCTTGACGGGCTCTAGGGCCTCCGGCTCTACAGCATCCGGCATCCCGTCCTCGTCCTGATCGCCAACATACCCCATCGGCTTAAACCTCATCTTCAACCCATCAGGCTGGGCTCTGACGCTCTTCGCAATCGCCGCCTTACTCCTCTTTTCAGGCTCCCTATACGGCAACGTCTCGAAGAACTGCACAGATTTCGTAATCTTCTTCCCACCTTCAACCCACCACTCAGATCAGCGCCCACAAACAAATGACAACTGTAGGTAGAGAAAGACTCACCAAGCAAATACCCCCCCCTCCCATCCGGTACCAAAACCTGTACACCTGCGCCCTCATCCGCCTCGCGGACTGAGAACATCCGCCCACTACTCGTTCCAAGCACTTGCGCATTATCTAGTACGTCGGCAGCATTAACAGTCCCTAACTTCGACAACGGTGCCGACACCGGCGCCGATATCAGCCATAACTCCTTCCCGGCGAGGTTCTTGGACGAGAACGGGTTTCGACTGGATGGTGAGGGCGGCGGAAGGCGGAGGAAGTCTGCCGGGGGGTGGTATCCGTCGTCGGATTCCGATGATGCGGATGCGGATGCATCCTCTTCCTCCTCCTCCTCCTCCTCCTCCTCCTCCTCCTCCTCCTCTCCTTCTTCTTCTTCGGAATCAGACGTGGAGTCAGACGCAGAACCAGGTGCAGAACCAGAGGCAGATGCGGACTCAGAATACCCCGCCGATGTGGAATCGTCCTCGGCGTCGGAAGTGGTGACTTTCTGTGTCGACCGTGGTTTCGCCTTTCCCTGCCTTTGTTTTTGCTTCGCGGGGGTGGGGACGGGTTTTTTCAAGCGTTTTTTCGCAGTGTTTGCTGAGGAGGACATAATTGGTAGTTGGTTTGGAGTATTTTTTTTTCGCAGATTTATTTTGGCGCCTGAATTGAATTAAAACTGGACTGGCTTATCCCTGCGCTAGTCTTGATTTGGTTGGTCGTGGGGGGTGGTCTGGGTGGTTCTTGTTGCAGAGGTATTTTTGGGAACGGGTCGGAAGGTAGGGAAGAGAGGTTGACATGATAATATTATAAGGTTCGACACAATTAATGGCAAATGATACAGCAATGAAGACTGAAAGGTAGGTAGTCCACCAGAGAAAACTTGATTAACCCAGCGCGACATGGCACTTGTAAGTCCCCTGTTGAATCCTAAACCTCCACCCCATCCCGCACGACCCTTTCATAATCACCACTTCTCACTCGACCTAAAGTCAAGCCAGGTCAAACATACATACTCATACTGCAGACAATATGAATTCATGTATCAACCTGCAAACTCAAACTACAGTATATAATTTCTGAAATACTTCTCTACCACCACCATCATCACCACCACCGCTATCAGTACACACCACACGACAAACTAACAAACAACCAAACCCACGTATATATATCATACCAAAACCCGAAAAATGTTAACACCACTCCAGAATACCAATTCGAGAAGAACCGCAGATGGCATTTTGCCAGGATTTTACTTCCCCACGGACGTTGACGGGAAGGTACTACCTTTATTCTCGGGCGGTAGGCCTAGAAGGCCTACCAGCAGCCACTCGGCCCCGGAAATAAGGCCAACAGGGTTGGACTCCCCCAACCCAGAGGTAATGACTAGACGAATGCACTTCGTGCCCACAGATGAAGAGCTCAAAGTATCACATCCATCCCCTCCCTCCGCCCCGGTCCGGCAGCATCGGCTCGTACGCGCACTGAGTGCCCCAACCCCCCATATCACACTTACCCCGCCACTGCAACGGCCGGAGCCCCCATGCCAAGCCCCACTCTTCCCGTGCGATGCTTCGGGCGCTGTGCTTCCGCTTTTTCACTCTTCTACTAGTACTCCTGGCTCTCCACGGCCCTGGACTGCTACTATCGCTGCATCATTGGGAAACTCATGTGCTCCCCTTCCTTGCAATGCTTCGGGGGCGGTTCTTGGGTTCTTTGAGCGGCCGGTGATGACTGATGGTAGTGCTCCTGTTCCTGTTGTCGCTGTTGGGGGTTGTGATGGTGGTGATGACGATGAGGAGGGGGAGGAGGATAGTGTCGAGAGTGTGATTGAGTGGATTGATGAGATGTTGGGTGGGCGCGGAGTTGTTGGGGAGGGGTCTGAGAAAAGAAAAAGGAGGAGGGTGAGGGGAGGGGAGGATAATCAGGAGGTTCTCGAGTGGTTGGAGGGTTTGAGGTTTGAGGCATGAGAATGTGGCCCCGTCGGCCCTCGGCAAGTTTCGGGAGAGCTTTGAGGGATTCGAAAGTTAGAGGGTAGGTTTATAATTGCCGATCTTAGAGAAATGTCCCTGATAGTAATAATATTTAGCTGTTGAAGTGTGTTGGATGTATAATGTAAGTCTCTGGCGAGCCGCCGGATGGAATGGATGTCTCAAGTCTGCGGTGAGCGCTAGCTTGCAGCGAGAGCCACCCTACTGGGTATGATACGAGTAAGTTAGATTAGCTCTTGCCAGTTAAACTTCATGCTGTAACTATTGATATCATACATTGATCAAGAGATTTATTGGTGGAATGAATAAGGATAACCTCTTGGTTGGAAATGGTTTGTTAATAGCAAGGTCAGCAGTTATGTACTTATGGTATTTGTTTCTGGCATATACCCGCACTCCTGAGTACCGACGCGACAGCCTCATAAGTACTCGTCCTCCCCTAGTTATCGGTAGCGACATAGTAGTCGAGCAGAATCTATACCCCACAAATGAGAGCCTAGTGTTGTGGGGGACTACTCCGATATATTTTTGAGGGAATTACTCCTCCTTGGTGACAGCTATCGTAGAAGTGCACCAGCGCAGACTCCTTAAGCTCTCAGGGGGGTGAACACAGTTTGCTCCTTTTGTGGATGGTACTGCGCATGCATCTCGATAACACCTATCGCCAAATGGTGTGGAGATCTCTCAGGGAGCTTTCTTTTCTGTTCCCAATCTACTCAGAGCCTCAGAGGTATAAGAACACGCCGCTTTTGCTTCTTTTTCCCCTTTCTTCAGTCCATTCCGCCCTGCCTTCGGGGCATGATTCTCTTGGTAGAGGGAGATATAGGGCAGGAGAAAGAAAGGAGTGCAACGTATCTGATTCGATCTTCTAGGTCATTATACTTATCTTTTCCTTGTAAGTATGCCACATACAAAAACTGCTAGCAAGGTCTCACCCGAGATCTCGAGCATCGGCTTTTGTACTCATTGGCGTTGGTTAACTGTGGTGTTTCGCTCGCTACAGTGTCTTTGCCTTTTCAAGTTTTCCCGCGTATCATAAACTTTTCTTGCTTCTATGTGTATGTTTCCCCGGGCAGCCCCAAGGCCGCAAGCCAGAAAGAAAGCGGAATTCTGGGTTGTGGGCATGGGCAGCGTCCTTGTCAATGATCCAGACAGCATGTTTTTTTAGGACGGTATGGTATCATACGTAATAGAGTTTTTCAAAAATCTTTTACCAGAAACCCATTCTCGGCGTGTTCTACCTTCGTACTAATTTTTTTTCTTTTCTGTATTCACGGCGTGCAACACTTCTCGCATCAGACCTTATGACGCGCTTCTATTGCGGCATAGAAGACCAGAGTTGTTGAAAAATAATAAAACACAAATGTGAGTCTAAAGAAGCGGGAGTTGGATCGGGAGTTGGGCAGGTTAAACTAACCAAAAAAATGGGGCCCTGTTTTACACTCATTCGTGATATTCATACCACTTTGTAATGCTCGTCCGCCTAGTGCCCACCCTGGCGGCGGTGGATTCAGGCGGGCTCACAATAGCCGGAGAGCAATTAAAAATCAACCGAGGGTATACCACGCCATAGCAGAATATGATACATAGTAGTAATCTCAAGGAGTTTAGAAAGAAACCGTTTCTCACTGTTCAACGCTCCACATTACGGATTCCTGCATCATATATCACTCGATGTTAACCCACTCGGAAAGTTGTTTCATTGTTGCCTCGAAAGACAACTGCTCGCACCCCATTACCTAGGGATGTGTGATGGCTCACAAAATCTACTAGAGGTTACTGGCGGCCTGTCTATTGTGGATCGCCGGCACTCCATAATTAACATCAGCGAGGAAAAGTGAAGGAGCACGATCACGGTTATCAAAGGGAAATTGATGATGAGGCTGGAATGGTAAGGGACGCAAGAGTTTTCAGATTCATGTATATAAGGACACCCGTTTGCCCGTAGTTGAAGAGTAATGGGAATTGAGGCAACAAACTCCTAGCTAGTATGGGAGCAGCAAGCGCGAGTGAGGGGGCGACAGGTGACTTTTGTGAGAAGCTTAGTGGACGATGGGGTAAGTGGGGGTATTCTGAATACTGCTGATCAAGTTAATCGTCTAGGGACAAAGACTAAAGATGGTGACTGTTTAGGTATTTAGTACAATGAAGCTACCGTCAGTAGCAAGCCCGATTCAATGGATTCTCAGCTCTATCAGAGATGTGGAGGTGAAGCATATGGTTTACTGTTGCCATTGTAAACATAAATGGGATTCCTATGAAGCAAGTTATACCACCACAATGACATTTGGAAGACATTTCCATTCAATCCATTCTCAGCTACCATCTCGGGAGAAGGACTACAAAGGTGTAATTAAGCGAATGGATGAGGCTACCACTACGGGCAAATGCAAGCAGACAGGATCAAACCCATTTACTATAGCAAGTCAGCTTGCAGGAACACAACACTTAAAACAAAACATAAAACAAAACTAAGTATCAAACGATACTTAAAACAAAACATAAAACAAAACTAAGTATCAAAGCAATACTTACAACAAAACAAAAACCAAAACTAAGTATCAAAAAATACTTAAAAAAAACAAAAAACAAAACTAAGTATCAAATGATACTTAAAACAAACTAAGTATTAATGTGATACTTAAAACAAACCAAATATCAATGTGATACTTAAAACAAAACATAAACAAAACTAGCTAACCGAGTACCTAAACCAGTTACACTCACAGTGTTGTTGAAAATTAAATTTTACAATAATTCTTCACAGCCTACTTAATGTTGCCGCATGGCCTACTGCATTATTGCTCCCTTCTTCACAGTTCTCAAGAACCACCTCTGCCTCCTGTGCCTCTGATTTCAATATTATAAGAACAGTCCTCACTGCCAGATTAAGCACATGTGCTAGGCAGTGAATTTGTCCATTGTGTCAATTCCAAGATGAGAGTTGAAATTCAAGCTCATTAAATATCATATTATTGACAGAGGCAGATGTATTGTCAGTGGTAATGCAATCGATATTAGCTTCGATATCATACATTTGCACTATTTTCATTATTACGGCAGTCATACTTTCTACAGTATGTGTGTAACTGGTATAGTAGGTACTTGGTTATTAGTTTTGTTTTATATTTTGTTTTAAGTATTGCTCTGATACTTGGCTTGTTTTAAGTATGGTTTAATACTTGGTTTTGTTTTATGTTTTGTTTTAAGTATCATTTTGATACTTAAGTGGTTTTACCAAAGTGTATCATTTGATACCTTTAATTAGTTTCGTTCATACAAGACAAGAACAGATTTGTGTATTTAAAGACAGCCTGATTTTATGATAGAAGAGGCAGACTTCGACTAACAGTATTTCAATATACTTGGTTGAACAGTTACTTCTTTGTTTTCTCAGTACACCTTTGAAGTCTTCTTTAGTTCTCAGCTCTCATCTCCTTTCTGCTAGAGTAGGCTACCTGTCAACTATTGTACCTTTTACCGATAAGGTGATTAGCACCGTGCAAATACGTTATAATGTGAACCCTGCAAATGTTCAAATCCTATGAGTGTGCTTACTAGCTCGAAATCAATATTCATCCAGTGAGCAGTAATAACAAGGAAGGGGATTATATTTAAA